AATCAATTTAAAACTTTTTAAGCAGGTCTAAAAGAGAAAACATTTCAACATACATCTATTAATTTTATTGAAAAAATAAAATATTTTGGTATGAAGTGGAATTCAATTTTAAATATTCAAAGGTATTCAGTCTGTCATTGAATTTGAATTATTCAGATTATATTTATAAATTTAAAATAAATTATATAATAATCATTCATTTATTTAATAGTTCATATATTGAATATGCCTCATTTATTTTATCCCAATAGACCAAATATTGTCCATTATTTGTGATACTTCCAAAAATATATTGTGTATCACAATTCAATTAATCAACTATTTTGAATTTACCATCATTTATTTCTCTAATAATATAAATATAAGTTTTATGTCTTACCACTATCAAATTCCTATCCTTATTGTAAACTATTGGAAAATAAAAGTAATCAAGTATTTAGTTTTTTGCCACTAATTGAATTGTCTTCTCCTAATTTTCTTAAAAGATTCCTTCTTTTAATTCATATACATAGAGTTTATCTATTTCTTTACTACCATTTATCCAAATAAATTAATTCTCTTTAATAAACTTAATCTTCACCCCAAAATCTTAAATTGATTATTTAACAAAATACTTGAATTCAAACTTATCCTAATCTTTTCTTTCCCAAATTATAATTTAATTGTTCCCTTCTGCACATGATAATAATTATGTTTCTGATAAGTTTAAACTTAATGCGCCAACTTTATTACTATGTTTATCTAATGAATACAAATATGTCAATATATTTTGCATAAAATCAACCTTCCATACTTTAATTGATTTATCATTACTTCCAGAAAATAATTTATCCTCATTTTAATTCAATATAAAGCAATTTACATAATTTATATGTTATGAATAAGGTTATGAACTGATCCAATTAAATGAATCTAATTATTTCCAGCATATTATTTTATTGTCATATCCACCTGATATAAAAGAATTCTATTTTTTACTGTAAACTAAAATATCAACCAAATTAGTATGTCCTTATAATGTTTTTATTAAATGAATTTTTCCATTTTGAAATCTCCATACTTTAATATCTTTCAATGAAGTTGATAGCATAATTGTCCCAGAACAATCAAAAGCAATTGCCGCACAATATTCACTTTATTTAATTGATGAATCAATTAAATGTAATTTGATTTTTCCATGCTGTGACTAATTTGAATTTTTGATGTTAATAAATTTTTATCTTATCTCTCCAAAGTTGACTTTCTCTTTATCTAAAAGATATTAATTTAAGATATTGGATAGTTTCGACATCCAAGTTTTATTAATGTTATTAATAAGTGTGATATTAGAATCATAATTAGTATTCTACTTCTTGATGAAGCAATCTAATTCATCATAGAAGCTGTATTAGTTGTATTTTTATATTTATTCCAATAAATTTTGACCCCAATCTTCAGCTATTCTAATTAAAGAATCAAATAATTTCATAAATTATGCCTTTAATTCCTATACACTTGTTATGCAAATTGATAATTATTGAAATGTTTACTAAGAGATACTTTCTAAGCTGTTCATATTATTTTCAATAATATCTTCAATAATATTTATAATTTTTTTAAACCCTATTGTCTTAGCATCTGATTCGAAATTTTCCATGCATTCATTGCACAATAGTCTTTATTTCTTATCTAGTTTTGGATCAAGCACAACCAAAAGAATTGGTTTATCATGTTTATTCAGACAATGAAAATCTTTTTGATTTTCTATCATTTTTGGTTTAATCATTTAATTTAATGTTAAAATATATTGGAATTGATTTGAGATTTATACTTAAATAAAAACTTAGACACACAACCTTAATAGAACAAAAAGTTGCAAACTGTGAAGTTCGCCAAAAGGGGAATTTAGTTTTTATACTTTTTTGACTTCTAACAATAT